GTGGTCCACCTTTTCTCTGCCCCTCCCTTCTCTTTTTTTCTCTTCATGGAATCATAGAACAGTTTAGGTTGGAAAGTAATATAGTCCAAACCCTTGCCATAGGGAGGTAATATTTCATTGAATCAAGTTGCTCAAAGTGCTGTCTGACCATTCCTTAAACAGTTTAATTGGATGTACATCACTTACACTGGATATTAACCTTATTTTATATTTTCACTGGATACTTATCACACTACCATGATGTGCAATAAGCAAACTACAAAATGCATGTCTGGCTGTGACAAGGTAGGTAGAGTTTTTTTGTTTCTTTAGTTTTCCTTTGGTTTTTAACTTCGGTTACCTTTAAGAAACAAAATCCAGCAGAAATTACCAAGCTACAGCATCAGGTTCTTAAAAAATACCTGCCATTTTGATCTGGACATACATAAAGGAGGACAAAGTAATTTATATTTACTTCTGAATTACTACTCTTAATCTAGAAGACTTGACAGCTTTACAATAATGAAATAAAGTATTGATAAGATCAAGCTTAGAAGAGTACTTTTTCCATAGTACCTCTTTAGGCTTACACTAGATGCTCTAGAGAAGCTGCAGTTTGCAAAGCTATTGCAATACACACATTTAGAAACCTAGGCTAAACACGTTTCTAAACACAGCCTAAACACACCACTTGGAGCACATGAAACAAGGGGGAATCTACTGAAGGAATTTTCAATGCACATTCAGAATCATTTGTCATCACGGACATAACACATGAAATTACAGCTGCAAGTTGCAGAACATGTAGGGCATGAACCTTATCCACACCTGTAACTCGCAACATTTTAGGCCATGAATAAAATTCAGGAGCATACAGCTCTTCCTCAACCGATGTGCACATCCCCCTTCTTGTGCATACAGTATTTTACAATGGAAGAAAAAAAGGAACTATGTTTTATGAAAGGCAAACCCACTGTCCGCATCGTATCAACAAACTGCACATTCTGAGCTGCTCTCATAGTTTGGCTTTTTATAAACTTTAAAATGCTACCCATACAGTTGTTCTATTGTCAAGATTTCTTTTCCATAATAATTGAGCTACCTTTCCCTATCAATTTAAAGAAAACCTCAATTTCCCTCCAAATGCACAAAGTTCTAGTACCTCAACTTCTAGCTGAACTCACCCCTTCTATTTCTGAATGAAAAAAAAAAAAGTAGTTTGTGAATTGTTAAATGAACACTTTTGGCCAGCATCTGAAGAGACTCAGTATTATTTCTATACCTGGCTGTTTAATTTATGGACATTCTGTCCACTTTGACACATTGTCCGATGGTGAGATTTACCCTTCAATTTTTCAATTATTATGCAGTCCATGATAAGCAACGATGAAGGGGCTGTTTCGCTTCTTACAGGTAAATCTGGTCATGAGGCAACTCTGGCACATCTTCAGAGGTTTCTGAATGAGTGCCACTTGCCCTGCATTTGCCTGAGGCTGAATAAACCTTTCCACCCTTGCTAGGGTGTCATCAAAGGCCTTCAGAGACCAGAACAGCAGAAAATAGGCGTATCCCAAAATTACTCCTGGCATTTCAACACTTGGTAGTTATGACAGCTGGAAGAAGAATGTCCTTACTTGCAGCTTTTATATAGTCCCATGCACATGAATATGCAACAATGTACAACTTTTCCAAAGCTGATGAAGGCAGTGAATCACTCCACCTTCTTTCATGGCCATCATCCACATAGGTAGTTACTGCTTCCTATTAACATCTTCAAAGGAGATAAAGAATAGGGACACAACTCAGCATCTACATCTGCTGTTTACCTCTTCTGATAGGCTGCCAAACTAGTTTTATGTATTCACTTTCATGAATACTGATATTCATAGCAAAATCTCATCATCACCCACAGTACAAGTTCCAGACTATTTCACCCCACGTGTCCAGTCCCCACTGGACAGCTGTGCTGATTTAAAGGGGAGTAAGTGGATTGCCTTCCCAAGACATAAAACTTAAGATTCGTATCTTAAGTTTTATCACTAGTATCTTAACTAAAGACTATCAAGTCTTTAACAAAAGCGGTTTTGTTAACTATAGAATTAAGTCTGCAACAGCACTTCAATTACCGAAGAAACACCTTTTAGTGCTGGGTTCTGTGATTTCATTTTTCAGAACAGGGAGTGCAGGGAGCTACGGCTGTGATCAATCTCCGAAGGTAACTTCTCCATTCTTTTCTTCATCACGTCACAAACTGCGAGGCAGTTTAAAACTCTCGGGTCCCTTTCTTATCTCATCAACAAGAATTTCCAAGGAGTTACAGCTATACTCACATTTATCCTGCAAACAATCCATTGAATTACTTTGTTTTTGAAGAATTAGTTATAAATGTTAAAGATGGTACCAATGAGAAACTGACAGAACAATCTACGCTATGAAAGTGAATCAAGGCTGCAGCAAATGCTCAAAGGCTCTGTTCCGGTCCAGATATACACTGAGTACTTTAACACAGCTGAGCACTGTCTCAGGGCTCAAAAGAATACCATAGCTAGATAACCAAACTGTGATCCAGTATATCCAGAGTTAAGTCCTGAACTTCCCCCTGATACATCCAGCATTCAGATACAAGGACAAGACCAGGTCAGTCAATTGCAAAGCTGTTCTAAGTACAGCTTTCTGTACAGGTGTAACTGGTAATACCAACTTCTTTTTCAGCAGTAGACCAAATTCAGTTCACATGTGTAAAATTCACAAGTTGGACAGACCAATATAAACTTCATACACAACTACCTTAATTTCTACAGGAGGTGAAATAATAATTAAAAAAACAGCAGACAAAAAAAGGGATTGAGGTGAGGTCATTCTTGAACATAAGAATATCTTATAAGATATATTTAGAGGTCTCCCCAACAATGTCTGCTGATGAATGAGCACACCTATATGGGACGTTACAGTCACAGAATAGTTTGGGTAAGGGACCTTTAAAGACCCTGTAATTCCACTTTCCTTGCCATGGGCAGGGATATTTTCCACTAGACCAATCTGCTGAAAGTTCCGTTCAACCTGGCCTTGAACACTTCCTGGGATGGGAAAGCTGCCCACAATTTCTCTGGACAGCCAGTTCTTCTCATGGCAACTTCTCTGGGCAACCTGTTCCAGTGCTTTAGCACCCTCACAGAAAATAATTTATTTCTTATATCTAACCTCAATCTACCCTCATTCAGTTTAAAGCCATTAGCCTGTGTCCTATGAATTATGAACAATCTTATTTGGTTAGAGAAAGTACTCTTCATTGCTTAAGAATAGTAGTGAGAAATCAAATTGCAATCACATTTCTTTGCAGATTTTATCATCAGACATTCATTATGAGGAAGAAGAAACAATAATTACAAATTAGTTTATAAAACAGAGACTGTAAACTGACATAAAGTATTATGTTTCACCATCTAGTTCTCTTCCATTTCCTGTTACATGTAAATAGTTCAGACTGTCAGACTGTCTTCTTGTTCACAAACCACATCACATTTTTGGTAAATGTTACTGGGAATTTCACTGAGTAGCTAATGTCCAGATCACCTACCAGCTACAAACCATAGTCAGCAGTGCACATATTGCAGCTCTTGGTTTATGGAACAGCCATATCTCAACTTTCCACTGTTTTGGAAAAACAAAAGCTAATCTAACAACCTAATATGCATGTTTTTTGAATAGCTGAAGGTGAAAACCTGTCCCCTGTGGTTGAATGAGGGTTATGACAATAAGCTTTTCCCCTATTTAATACACGGATAACATATGCTTCTTTGAAAAGAAATATCATATTGTTGCTGTAATGTAAAAGCAGTGCAAGACTAAATGTGTATTTAAAGCACTGAAGAGGGGTAATCTGCCCATTATTACTACATTGATGAAGTCCTAAACTCACTGTGACAATTACCAGGATCCAGGATTTAAAGCCCACATGCCCTTCCACCAAGTCATGTTCCTGATACTATAATTATTAAACAGGATGCTCAAGTTGAAATGACTGAGCCATAACAACACACTTCAGATTTTTATACCTTTTTGGTGTAAAATACACAGTGTTCTGGGATTTTTTGATGAGCAGTTATTCTTATGATTGAATACTATTTTTAAAATCGTTTTTACAGTCTGGGTATTTGTAACATGAGAAGACTATTGAGCTAAATGGAAAAACTTATGGTGAAAATTGTTCTCAGAGAAGCTGCACTTATTTGGTGCAGGATTCTCTAGGATTCTCACCTATATTATTGAATGCATTCAGTCTTTCATCTTGCTATTTTATGTCCCACAAAACCAGAGGCTTAGAACACAGAAATTGCTGAAATAACATCTTTTCATTAGCATTTTTTCTTGTCCATTTTATTCTGCTTGGGTTAACACCACTGCTCCAAATTCCTCTTTTTTTGTTCCCACCATAAGGTATTTACACAGATCTATTACAAACTCTCCCACACATTATATTTTGTGACGATAGCTTTCTATATAAAGCAAAAAGATGTGTTCTCTCTTTGAAATGCTGTAGCTGCTAGTCAGAATTCTGAAACAAAGGTGATCTCAACGCCATACAGAAATAACTTCTCTTGTACCAGCTTTTACTCTGCCCCTTTGTACAAAAAAAGTAGGTGATGGAAATTATCTGAAGAAACAACGTGCATCTTCTCACATTTACATCACAACAGTGGGTTAATTACTGGGGTATCAATTATTATAGATTCATCCCAACTTTTCAGTTTTTGCAGCTAAGAAGATCCCAAACTATGACAATAAGGAAGATCCTCTAATTGTTATTAAATTTAATTCCATTTCAATTTTCCAGTCCGTAAGTAATATACACTGATCCTGCTTAATACTGACAATGCCTTCAGCACCAGGCACCACCAGTCAGCCTGGATATGAATCCGCTAATTCTAAATCACAGCATTTCTGTTTCAACTACCGATACATGTGAAATAAAACCATTTGACAAGAATGCTGTAAAAGAAAAATAGCAACTAATATCTTACCTTGTTCTAAGAGCCACCCAAGCAGCATCAATGTCAGCATACAGATTCTTCTCTGTAGGCTTCCCAGAACTTGCACCGTATCCAGAATAATCATAGGAGAATATGTTGCAATTAATCCGTGAACCCAGTCCTATATAAAAGCTGCTCATCTGACCCAGGTCAACAGCATTTCCATGTGAGAAAAGCAAAGTGTACTTGGCATTAGGTGAGCAACGCACGAACATACACGCAATCCTGTTGCCTTTACATGTTCTAGTCATGAAGCACTCAATGGCATCTTTTTCTCTAGAAGAATATTGCCAGTCTGCTCGTTCTGAGAGATGCAAAGTCCAGCGACTGCCACTCTCATCACACATCAGTGTGTATGTGGGATCAGGAGGTAAGAATGCCAGCTTAGAGGCAATTTTCCCTGGGCATGGTGGACAACAGAACAGGCAACACAGTTCACTAAAGGAAAGATTATTCATCTTCTAGTCTGAAATGGGAAGAGAGAATAGTATCAGTTTCCAGGTACAATCTGACATTAAAAAAACCCAACTTACAAAAAAAAAAAAGTGGACAAAACATCTCTAGAAAATAACGCATAACTTCTGAACATTTAACAAAACAAATACGTATATACATATACGTATATTTCCATGTAATATTTAATTTTGTATTATTAGTTTCTTCACAATGAGTATATTATTAAAGATAACTCTAAAGCCCTGCCAGATATCAAAAGTAAAACATGATTACCCAGGGAAAGAACAAGCATGAATTTTGGAGTTTCTTTGGAGGAAAAGTAATTCCTGATCTCAAGGCATTAAGAAAAGTTTTCTTCCCATTGACAAATACATATGTGATAAAAAGCAATTAAAATATGTTGTAGAGTTGCAGCATACTAAGGTTATGCAGATTTCTGCAGCTAAAAATCATTACAGCATCTCCTAAATACCAAGAATGTATATTGCAATCACGAGGTATGGGCTCCTGCAGGCACTATCAGAAGTATGAAGGGTGCGCGAAGGTCAAAACTTAGAAGACAAAACAAGATGATGCTTCTGGATTAGCAAACATTCTAGAGCTTTGGTACATGAAAATGTAACCATAAACTTATCTTCACTCCTCATACCTGCCGACTTAAGTGTTTTGAAAACCTTCAAAGAAGTTCTTAGCTGTAAGAACAAGACAGCTCTTAGCTGTACTGCCCATAGGAACTGGGATTGTATAAATGACACAATTAGGGTTTTTTTCATGCTTTATGAGACACATCCCAAACTAAATCACAGATGTTTGTTAAAACAATATAATCTATAGCACCAATTCAAAGCATTGGTTTTAACAGTGGTTGGGGGAGAGAAAAAAATAAACACACCTACACCTAAAGCAAGATAGGTAAAGACACAGTTGCCCTTAAAATAGCCATTGTGTTCCCTTAATTGAGAGCAGTGAGAAGGGAGTGGGGGAAAATCCATTGTTGCAGCAATATTTTTTCTCAGAGATAAGAAGGGCAATGAAATTTAACAAGCACCATGCTGGAAACCAGCACACCAAAGATAAGCATTTACTCTACTTTCCTTGTGTTATGTCATCTGACATTTCATCCTAACTTAAACAACGTCTTCATACCAAATCTATCTACAGGTCTCAAGTTCACCTCCTGATGGCTCCCTGTGAACATAAACATTTACAGCTTCACATACTGACTTTGACTCAAGCTACAAAACAAGCAGATTTCATTTGTCTACAGTACGATGCTGTTCCAGAAGTATTTGGGTCATCCAACAGTAAAATCTTACTGCTAACTATGACACCTAACAATATTTAGATACTTCAAATTTTGCCCTTAAATTTGTACAGAAGCATAGTTTTCATGTGTAAATTTCTTTTTAAAGAAGCTTCAAGGACAGTGCTGCAAAAACACTTAACATGCGTCACAGAACAACTCTCTGTATTTTTGGATGTGTGAATGGTCTCTTCCTGGTGGTACAGTATGAAAGCATACTGCAAACAATGTTACATGGAGCATACTTTTAGAGCAGCAAAAATAGGCACAGTGAGACAGTCTGCCAAACACACAAGCATTCATGGAATACCACAAAAAAAGAGGCTGCCACAGCTAAGGTTTTTCACCCCAGGTCTCTAGTTTTCTTCAAAACAGAGGATAACCACAGAAGCTTAAATATGGGAGATCAACACTTCCAATTTAGAGGATATGGCAGGAAGTACTCAGCTCCCATAAGAAGGTAGATAGGCTCTTAAAGAAGATCCTGGATAAAAGACCATATTCCTGCCAGCTGAAGTAACAATCATATTGTTTCAGCACAATTAGTCACTCAAATTTGGAATAACTCATCCCTGTCAGATGAGTTTATGTGAACATTAAGCTTCAGTCATACCCACAAGTCAGGATAAGTGGAAGGAGTCTGTGGAGGAAGTCTAACTATTAGCAAAAGGTTTAGATTGTCTTATGCAAAGTAAAAATCCTATTGTTTTGGGGGGTGGTGGTGTGTATTTGTTCCTTCTTCACTTCTCTTGTAATTATGAGCATCAAAGAAGCAACTTCCTTCACCTCTACTTAATGAGTTCATTTTCACAGTCCAGTCTCAACACGCTTTTTTCCCAAGTACTTATGACATAGTACTCAAAATCACTTCTATTTCTATCAGAAACTATTAAATGGATCTGTTCCGAGTTTTCCCATCTTTACAGAAATGCTGAAGGTGAAGTTAGATATTATACTTTATTCTAAGGGGGTGATTGTTATTTTTTGTGAAAAATTTAAAAGAATTTGTACCTCCAAAAGTGAGATATAAATAGCTCGTTTTGCCCAGGAACAGCACATTGCACTGTATATGAACATACAATGAGAACTACAGAATTTCTTATTTCTTCCAAATCCACTTGTCAGAAAGAATTAGAACAGGAGTTTACATTACTTGTAAGTATAAACAGTTCAGCAACACTACAAAAATGATTTCACTCAGAAAATATTTGCTATTTACCCAAGTAATTTCAGAAGACTGGAAATCGGCCTGCAGGATTCACATACAGGGCAGTACTGCAGTAAACCACAGTGAATTAGCTGATGTGGTGGCACTGTCCCCCAAGATAGCTAAAATGTGCTAAAAATGGGCTGTCACTAGATATGGCAAATGACACGCTGAAGACAGCAGATGAAGTATTATTCCCCCCTTGCGCTAGACTAATGCAGGCTTTATGTATTGATCTTTTAATCCAATGGAAAATATGCCTACTGAAAAAAAAAATTCTGATTCTAGAGTCGTTCTCCAACTAAATAATGGCTAATAACAACTCTTTTCTTTAAAACAAACACATGCTACTTTCTTCACTCAGAAGATCCAAGACAACCATCAGGTCACTAACTGAACCAATTCGATACAAAACACCTATTGAACTTTTACAGCAGAATAGCTCCAACTAAATGCAAACAATGTTTCTATTATACTGGAACTGGTTTGTCTTTCACTGTGATGGATTGTATTCACATGAGAGTGTGAATAAGCTGGATGTGTGTTTATCTGGATTCTTAGTGAAGCTGAGGCAAAACCAACTCTGACTAGATTACTTTAAGCATATGGTTCCACAAGTATGCATGAGTAATTTTAATGGGACTCATTTGACTAAGATATGTTGTGAATACCTAAGGTACAGTCTAACACCTGAGTATGTATGATGTAAATCTCTGTGCTCATTACAGCATCATCAGATTCTGAGATGAACACATCCCAACAACACAACCATCTCCTTCTACTTGACATTTCAGTAGTAATAAAAATGCTGGTGCTGTTCTGCAAACACAATTCCTACAGCTGGTAAAATACACTAACAACAAAAAGAATACAATAAAGAAATATACATCCCCTTTAAAATTATTCTGCATTTTTCATAGTAATTAAGTTTGAAAATTCTGTGGAAGAAACTGCAGAAAACTCTTCTATTGCAGCAACAGAGGCTAAGAAATAAAACAGATCCAAATTATACTACTTACCCCTTCTGGGATAGCTTTTAAAAGGAAAGCAAGAGCATTTTATCAATTTTATCTCTTTAGCTCTCTTATGAATAAAGACCTAACATATAAAATTACAAATGTAAAACTGCCCAAAGGCAGTGATTTAAATTCATTCTGTGGCAATTAGCCTTTTCATAAAGGCTGACAGAAGGGGGACAATGTCTATTTAATCTTAAAGAACACCTCAAGTATTTATCTTGTGCTTCCTAGGATAACACAAATGTAATTTTTTCATGTAAGTAAGTATTCTGGTCCTCCTACCTCTGTATATAATAACAAGACAGGGGTTATTCACATCTTTGTATTACTCTCAAAACCAGCCCAACCTTGCAAATACTTATCTAGAAATCTTATATTTACATTAAATATAAATTATTCTAATTGTTTATTCAAATTAAATTGTCTGTTTCATGGGAACTATTCACAAGAACAAAGTCAAACTCATAAATATAGATGCTGGTTTAACTGTTGTTCAAATCATAACGGGCGAGTTACTAAAATTGTTGGGGTTTTTTTTTGTTTTTTTTTTGGTTGCTATTTGTGTGTATTTTAGTTGTGGGTTTGTTGTTTGATTAGAGGTTTTTTTCATCTTTTCATTATCTACTGCTGAAATAAGAAATTCTATAGCATTTTTCCTCTCACTTTCATTGAGCACAATACAATGAGAACTTGAGTTCAAGCCACTACTGAAGTGCTGATATTTATTTCAACACCCATGTAATATTAAAAATGGAACAGAATGATATGAACATCCTTTTACTAGCCCAACAGTTAAAGAAACAAAATGTTCAGAGAATAAGAAATCATTAGTGTCTGATTAAGTACCGCATAAAAGGATTAAGAGAATATTAAGAAAGAATATACAGTAAGTCCAGAAAACAACACAAAGGAAGTACATTCAATTATGAAAAAGCTGTATTAAGAAATACTGTGAAGTAAGTACTTAAGATAGTTTTCAAAGGACAAAGTAGGCTACTTGAAAACAGAGAAGCCTGATCAAACCAAAACTTTTACTTTGGTTAATTTGATTCTAAAGAAATAAACACCCCTTCTAGTCTCACAAATTCCAGCTATTTTAACTCATATATAGAGACATTATTTATCCTCTGCTGGTCACTTTGTATATATCAAAACCTAACGGCATAGTTGAAAAAAGAAAGGAAACATTAACAGGAAAATTTACCTGAAAAATCCACACATTCTTTATCAACCGAAGAACAAACGAAACCTCTAAAGCTTCCAGACAGACAAATGCGGGATCAAGCCGATTACATAATGCCTTGCATGCTCCAAGCAAGACCCTGTCCGCGGCGCTGCCCTGCTGAAGCCCCGCGGCCCCAGCCCGCCGTCCCAGCGCAGGCGGCCGGCACCAGCGCGGAGCTCCGCCCTCAACACCGCTGGGCGCTCAGGGGCTTCTACTCTGATTTCCGCAGCCATGAACTTTCCTAGTTAATTACTGACCAAATACTTTAAATTTTTATATAATACCTGAGAGTAATGTTGAGGCCAGCGCCACTCCCACCCTCAATAGCAGAAGCTGAAGGAATAAATTTAACCAGGCTGGCGGGAACTAAATTAACTCCTCTGGGGTCCGCGTCGGAAAAGGGTTCCGCCGAAGTCCTCAGCAGCGACTCAAAGGCACTGTTTGGAGCCGCGAAAAGCCAGACTTTAACACGCGTGTCACAAGTCAGTGCGCCCGTTTCCAACAAAGGAGTCCAGGGCAAGACCACGGAGACGGGAGCACCGGACAGATCGCCCACATCACCCGGGCACCCCGGGGCAGGCGACACCCCCAGAGACCCTCGAGCCCAGCGACACAGGGACGCGGGCAGGAGGCTGGCGGGGCCGGCAGCTCCCCGCCCGGTTCGTGCCGCAGACCGAAGCCGCGCCGCCCGCCCCTCTGAGGAAACGCCGGTGGCTGCCGCGGGCCTTTCCGCTCGCCCCAGGGGCCGCCACACGCCTGCGCCAGGCGCGCGGACGGGCCGCGGCTCCGAGCGGGGCAAGAGACACGGACGGACCCGCGAGGACGAAACAAGTCGCCCACACGCCGCGGCAGCGGGTCACCCGCACACCGTCCATCCCCGCGACGCCGGGGGAGGACGGCCCCTACCTGCACCTGGCGCTCCGCTCGGCGGCCCCGCGCTCTCCCGACTGCCGGGTCGGCGGGATCTGGGGGCGCCAGCTGTGCTGAGTAACGGCGCGGCGGGAGGCGGCCGTCAGCGCCCGGTCCCGGCCGGAGAACGCGCGGCCCTGGCAGCGCTGAGCCCGCCCCGCGCAGCCTCCGGAGCAGCGCCGGCNGGGCCGCAGCGCCAATGGGGGCGCAGCCGTGGCGGCGCCGCCCAGCGCGGCAGGCCCGCGGAGCGGTTCCGGGGCACGCGGCGCCGGCCCGGGATGAGCTCGGAGCGGGGGAACGTGTCGCGCACGCGGCCCCAGCGCCACCAGAACGCGCGCGCCTTCGAGAACGACAAGTACGACACCAGCGCCCGGCGCAAGGTAGGCGGGGGCCGGCCCGGGGCGCGCGGGGTTGTCCCGGCGTCAGAAGCCACCGCTCTGCAGGCGATGCAGCGCTTGGGGCCGGAGCGGTGGGAAGGGTTGGTTTCTTGGTGAAAGCGTGGGCAGGTCCTCCTACGGCCTCTGAAGCCATGCCCTGTCCCTGTGAGGTCTGGTGCCAGGTCCTGACGGGCTTCGGGGTCGCAAACGAAGTCACGCGGCAGTGAATGCCGAGGGACCGTTTTAGGGATGGAGATACCTCTGGCCCGGGTCCGCCCACACCAGGCACAGTGCTGCTAAGAGAGAATCGTAACAAGACATTTCAGACAGTTGTCACTGTAAGCAAGTGTGTAGTGTGAAACTTGAGTCATGCTTGTGACATGAAAGGACCTAGTTAAGCCGAAGAGTTATAAGAGGAAGACTGAAATAAGTGCTTACATTTGTGCAGTGAGTGCATCAATTGAATGTTCAATGGTGCATTATCCATATGACTTCTTGAAAGGTGGCTATTGGTATGACTTCTTTTCTTTAGTCTTCTCAAGGTTTGTGACTATGTGGTCATAACTGAGAAATCTTGGTGTTTGGAGAGCTTCATTTGAACAACTTTCTCCCATCACATATAAATACCCAGCTTCAATCAGCACACTTTTGAGATCACTTTCATGCGTAATTTAATTTCTTTTTTAAAAAAGGGGGCTCTTCTGGTTAGTTAGATAGAAAGGTGTGTTCAGCTACAAAAGTTATCTTCACTCTGTTGTTCCAGAAGCCTGTTTTGTCTTTTTTGGTTCTAAGCAGGGAGGGGGAAATGGTCTACAATATATTCTTGAAACATGCTCTGTGCTTTTAGTTTTGGTAACATAATATGCGGAAGGGGCTGAAGAACATGGGTGTGTCTGAGCGGTAACACCACCAAGGTGGGATGTTTCATCTTGCAGGCTAAACCGAGAAGGTGACTAAGACAAAACAGAGGATGAATAATCTAGGAGAGTTGATCTGGGGCTATTGCTATTATATAATATCCCTTCAAATGAACCTGCCTGGGTTGTCCAAAAGGGCTGGGAGGAGGGGAACAAAGTAGTGAGTTAAAGCCTTGATGCCAAAGAGGGATGTTTGGGTTTTTTTGTGAGTTTGTTTTGGTTGGTTTTTGAGATGGCTTTTTTAGGACTGGTTCTGCAAGTTGAACAGGCTGCTTTCCTGGGATTCTAAGCAGTGACAGTATTATTTGTTGTATGAGTCACTGCATGACCTCTGATAGGAGAGTATTTTCTGACTGGGTACAAACATACACACACAAAAAAGTCATAAAAAAAACCCTGAATTCTGGTATCTGTTTTGTAAATGAAATAATATTTTTAATACCCGCATGACTGTTTTTCTGTTTTTCTTCCCTTTGAAAATAATTTATATCCTGTAGAACTGGCTACACAATATCATGCACTCAGGATTTTTTTTTTTTTTTTAATGTGGCCAAGGTTTTCTGTGGACATCAACTTGTTTTCTTTTTCTTTCTGTTTCAAGCCAATTATTTATTTTCTCTCTATGCTTGTTGGTTCATGGAGAGGACTGAGTGTGTGGAAGTAGCATCCTGAAGAATGTGCCTCCTATTCCAGGGTTAGATAACGTTTGGTAAGGGGAAAGGATGAGTTCCTTTTTCTTAGGGTATCCTGCCATGTACAAATTGAAGTCCCAAGGTACTGCCATGTTTTAGGAATTATATTCCCCAGTTTGATGTTCCAACTGAAACACTAAACCATGCACCACTCACTCACTCACCCTTCTCCCTACCTCCCTCACTGCATAGCCCTGGCCAAAAGAATTTGAGGCACAAAAGGCAAAGATCACGGGTTCAGATAAGGACAATTTACTGGAAACAGCAAATGAAGTAAGAAAACAGTCACAGCAATAGTGAAGAAGAGATGATTCACACACAGGTGTGTGGGACCCCTGGCAGTACCAGACCACACCACGCTATGTGACCTGGAAGGGGCCCCTCCTTCCATTCCTGCAAAATGATGTGAGGTGGTATAGAATAACCTTAGTGTCCTAGCCTGGAAAAATTAACCCTGGCTTGGCGAGAACCAGGACAGGGATACACAGGGGTCATTATAATGATGCTAGCCCCATTTTGCTGTTTTAAAGAAGTTAGACTAGCAAAGATTAAGTGGCGATTAATGTTATAGTTTACATATGGACTATGCTGAATGATGACAGTTTTGCATCTCTGTCTTTTGCGGTCCTGGATGATATGATGTGTCATGGATGTTCAAGGTAGGATGAGGAAAAGGAAGAAATGGTAGGAATTCTTTGATAGGGACTGATAAAGGAGTGTGGCATACTCCTTTCTACCTCTCATTAGCTCAGTAGATCAAGAGAATGCTAAAAGCTCCTCAAAGAGAATGGATCTCCTGTTAAACATATGGAGGGTTTTGTATTTGGCCTGCCTACTGTTGTACACTGTCCGATGCAATGCTACCTTGAAAGGCTGCAAAATGCTTATCAGCTTAAAATTTGGATCCTGCTGCAACTGTACACTGCATTAGCAATGTTGAATATTTACTACAATAGCTTCAGCTTGTACAGTGGGTGGAGTTGAGGTAGTTTATTATGTGTTATTGCTATTTCTCTCAGTGAAGCAGTGTCTGCAGAGGAAATTGATCTAATAGGATTTTGACTTTTCTCTGCTGGCAGTCATTATCCAGTTGGTTTTTTTGTTTTTTGAAATGTTTTGTGCTCTTTGTCTGACACTGACCGTGTCATTCATTTTCTAATCTTAAAGGCCACAGACGTGATTACTTGAGAGCATGCTAGAAGATCCATCTGTCTTTCCTCTAATGATCAGTCTTTACTACAGAAGTACTACAGCATTGCTCTTGAGGCTTGTTGAGGTGAAACATCCTTGCAACAAAGTACACTGCCTCTCTACTGTATTTGGGAAACAGCTACAACAGTGCTGGAAAAGTTTGTGTCTTAGGATGACCTGAAGAAGGAATAGCCAGGACAGGGTAAGACACTGTCTTGTTAGTTATTGAATCTTGGAATTTGTTTATTGGTGTTTGCATTACCTGGTATATTCCAGAATAGCTCTTTGCAGCACTGAGCTGAGGAACATACATTATGTTATATGAATATACATTTTATGTAAAATATATTACATAAGTCATCATGAAAGCTGCAGTAGGTCTAGAAATGAAAGCAAATATTATTTAATGAGAACATTTAGAATTCCATTGTAGTAAGATGGTAAACCACAAAGTGGTTCGTATTTACACTCAAAGGACTGATTTGTTTCTCCATTTCTTTCGTTAAGATGATGATTTGTATTTCCCTAAATTTCAGGGGTTATTACATCTGAACCTCAGATTTACCACAGTGTTAATGTCAGTTACTTTTTCAGCCAGGTGCATGGATAAATCATGTTGTAGTGTTGTTTTAGTGGAAACACTGGTTTAGACTGTGGAAAAGGACTAGGAAGAGAGCAACTGAATGTAGAGCTTAAATGCTGAGTCAGTAATCGTATTTTGAAGCACAGAAGTGAGATAGAGATAAACCAGTGGCCAACTGGAATTGTTAGATAAACATATTGCAGTTTTTTTAGATAACGTTCTTGCTGCAACATAGAGTAGCTTGGTAGGCTGAAGTCTACTCTCTAGCCACTCCTGTTACTCTGGGTTCAGAAATACATTCAGTCTTGGGTTGTAGCCTTTCATGTAGGGAGAATAGGAGCAAATATAATGTCTGCTCTGGACTCTAACCCAGCCCTGGAGGTGGGGCAGAGAGTGAGAGAAAGAACGTGTGGGTAAGTACAGGAGGTGTGTCTGGTGTGTCTGTGTTCATGTGTCTTTGTGTATCTTCCATTCTTTCTGGAGGAGATGATAAGAATGGAGGAGATGATGAGAGTCCTTCCCGTGCTCTCTTAAATGCTGTAGGCATATGTTGCTTAAATTTTGAAATACACTTGATGAGAAAATATCTGTAGAACAAGGAATTTCAAGTAATGCTGATACAATATGGGAGCAAGTGAAGCTCTGTGGGGGACAGTTTCAGCCTGTGTAATGTGTATTGGAACCCTGAAATCTGGCATCTGGTAGCTCAGTTTCACATTTGTCAGTCTGCAGTGACCTACTTTAACTGCTTAGTCGTCATGCACTGGAGGTCCTGTGGAGTTCTGTTTTTTTGAGAAATTGAGTTGTTCAGAAATCCTACATTCACCCTTGTGCTGCATTCAGCCTTGCTGATTGAAACAGTGCCACCTGTGTTTCTGACAAGGAGGTTTATGGGTGGCATTAACATTACACTCAGTTACAGCAGAATAGACCACTGATATGTGCTCAGTAGAAGGAATTTGCTTTCAGTAGAGGAAATTGAAATACCCATAGGTTCACACATAATTAGAAGCTTACAAACAGATGGTGAAGCTTCTTTGAAGTCTTGTCATTATATCCTACCTGTGAGCCCTTTAATGCTTGTTTTAGCTAGGGATTATTTTGTGTGCCAAGTTAGTAGGTGTAGGTGCATTTGTTTACTTTAATACATTCTGAACTGCTTTTGGCAGGTTGTTAGGTGATTTTAATACTAGGCTATGTTAGCAGAGGATGTTGATTCGTTAATGTACAACTGAATGTGCTTACAGTGTGCACATGGAATATTTTGTGGCATCATACCTGTAGGCTGCTTAGGTATGTCTGTATTGCATAACTGTAATTTCCCTGAGGATGTATAGACATACTGCAAGCACTGGATGAGTTGCACTTGTCCTTGGAGAAAGTATGCTAAAGAGAAAAGAGAACTATTAACTAAAACAGGGAAATGAGCATAAAGAAAACCCCAGAGAAACTGCTGCAACAGAAGCATAATCTAACATGTTGGAGTAGTTTTCACACCAAGAAATTAATTTACACCAAGAAATTAATTTCAAGCACTACCACCTATTTGTGTATGAGGCCCTGACTACCTGCGTAAAAGCTGGGTAGAAAAGTTGGAAAAGAATAATGAGGTTTACTAGTCTTTTTCAGGGCTTTGTGTGGGCTGTTGGGTTTTTTAATACCCTCAAGGAAAAGCAAGCTATTAAATGGGCAAAAAGAAGAAAATATGAGTTTATGAAAGTTTAAACAATATACAAAATATATTAAAAAGTAAATATTAGTAAGAAAAGTAAGCACCAGAGGAGTTTATTTGATTTTACTAGTGACTTCCCCATCCTGACCAGGAACTGAGAAACAAGAAAATTTGTCTTCAGGTTTATTGTAAGAACTGCTGTCATGTGCTTTTTTAGCATTTTCAAAAATCTGAAAAAACAGACTATTCAAATCTTTCATTAGGAGCAGCTTTCTTTACTTCTTCAAGTCTGCATTGCTTTTGAAAGTGGTGTGTTATGGGTTATTTTGGTCAGAGGAGAATTAAGTGTAAAATTACACTTAATTAAGTGTAAAAAACCACAGTAAATTAGCCATTTGTTTCAGTAATGGTAGCATTTAAATATCATGCCTTTTTTTTTCTGAGCAAAATAAATATAAAAGACAATACACAAGTTAAACTCTAACTGCTTTCTTTACATAAATCCATCATTCACTATTGACTTTCTAAACCAACTGCCTGGTAGGGTTGTAAAGTCTTAGTGGCTCTTTTACTCAGATGTGCTGAGCCAATGATTAATTGCAATGCCCCATACTTGAGGCATCAAAATTGAGTAAAAAATATAGGAAATTGCTGAAGAGGGGGAAGATGCTCTATGTGTGCCCCTTAGAAAGAGGAAGTTAGAACTTAAAGCTGTTGTCTTTCTTCCAGTTTGTGACCTTCTGAGCAGATGCAATATGATTCCTTTATGAGTAGCTGTGTAAGATTTATGGTCTTACACAGCTACTGAAAAGTCCAGGCATCTTTATGCCTGGATCACGATATTTAAAGTGATTTATGATGCACATAAATGTGATGATAGAATCATATAATGGTTTGGGTTGAAAGGGACCTTAAAGATCATGTAGTTCCAAATCCCCTGTCATGAGCAGAGACACCTTGCTCTGGACCAGGTTGCTCAGAGCCCCATCCAGCCTGGCCTTGGAGCACTGCCAAGGGTGAGGCATCCACGGCTTCAGTGGGGAAGCTGTTCCAGTGCCTCACCACTCACACAGTAAAGAATTTTTTCATAAGATCTGGTCAAAACCTACAATCTTTCAGTTTGAAGCCATTCCCCCGTGGTCTGTGACTACATCCTTTTGTAAAAGTCCCTCTCCAGCTATCTCATAACCCCCTTCTGGTACTGGGAGGTGCTCTAAGGTCTTCCCAGAGCCTTCTTCAGGCTGAACAGCCCCAACTCTCAGCCTGCCTTCATAGGAGAGGTGCTCTAGTCCTGTGGTCTACTTAGTGGCTCTCCTTTGGACTTGTTCTGACAAGTCCATGTCTTTCTTGTGTTGTCTGGTAATCCAGATCTGAATGCTTATGTGGTGTCTCACAAAAGCAATGTGAAGGGGCAGAATCCCCTCCCTTGCACTGCTGGCCAGAGTTAAGGGCTGCAAGGTGCCAACTCATATTGGGTTTCTCATCCACCAACATCCTCAAAGTCCTTTTCCTCAGAGTACTCTCTGTCCATTCTCCACCCACCTTGCATTTGTGCTTGGGATTGCCACAATCCAAGTGCAGGACATTGCACCTGGCCTTGTTGAACATCATGAGATTTGTACAGGTTCACCTCTCAGACCTGCCTAGGTCCCTCTGCATGGCATCCCTTCCCTCCAGTGTGTTGATCACATCATACAGGTTGATGTCATTGGCGAACTTGCTGAGAGTACACTCAATTCCACTGTATAAATGCCTTCTCCATGAGGACATGGTCACCAGGTTTTCTGCATCCTGGTACTCTTGAAAGTACCGACATTTTCCCAAGTCTATCTTTGATCGCTGACATACCTAAAGAACCTTTTTTTTCTTACCCTTGACTTCCTTTGCCAGATTTATTTCTGCCTGTACTTACTTTAGCTTTCCTAACCATTTCCTTGGCTCTTTGGCCAATTTCTGTGTATTCCTCCCTGACTACTTTCCCTGCTTACACTCTCTGTAACCTAGCTTTTTAAGTTTCTCCAGGAGCTCTTTGTCCACCCATGCAGGCATCTCAGTTTTCTTTCTTGATTTCCTCTTTGTAGGGATGCATTGCTATTGAACCTGAATGAGACAACTCTTCAATATCATCCAGCTCTTTTGGGCCGCTCTTCCCTCCATGGTTCTATCCCATGGCCTCTACTAAGGAGATCATTGAAGATGCCAAAGTCTGCTCTCTTGTAGTCCAGGGTAGTGTTCTTCTTCCCATGCTCCTCACTGCCCCAAGGTCCTTAAAATCCACCGCTTCATGGTCCCTGCAGCCCAGGCTGCCCTTGAGCTTCACATTCACCAGCTCCTCCTTGTTGGAGAGAACTAGGTCCAGCACAGCACCTCTGCTTGTTGGCTCTTCTATCGCTTGGAGAAGGCAGCTGTCATCAGTGTATGCTAGGAACCTCTTGGATTGCCTATGCCCTGCTGTACTGCCCCTTCATCTTTGGCATCTTCAGCTTTTGGAATGGCCAGTGTGTCAGTTTGGTTGGAAAAAGAAGTTAAAAAAAAAGCATCGCTGTGTGATTGTTGTGTATTCTGGAGCCAGATGATGAGAGTATGGGGTGAGGAAGAGCTTTATAAAGCTCCATGAACAATACCTATGCATATTTCCTTGTTCCATAGCAAATATTAAGTAGAAGTTGTAACAGGCTGCCTGTTTGATGAACTTTGGATTTGCTTCAGATGAGAGGTTTCTGAAGTAGTTTCTGTGTCATTCAGGCCATGCAGTCCTGAGCACAGGCTCTTGAATTCCAAGAGCTTTAGGCTTTGCTGAGCCTGCCCCTGGATCACTCCGTGGCACGGCTCCCAACCCCAGCCCCAGCTGTGTTAAGGGAAAATACATTGTTTTCATCCAGGAAGCTAACTGCTTTTTTGAAAGGACAACCATCTCCTTTCAGTTTAAGCTTCTGCAGTCTTTTGAATTTCACTGGATTCTGCCTTAGCAAAACTAAAAATAGCTGGTAACAATAAATGTATCCCTACCTGGAAAAATAAATTACTGTGTATTTTACTGCCCTCCTGCATTACCAATCAATGCAAGTCAGGGGAGTGGGGGGAGCTGGGAAGTTCAGGCTAATTTGCAGATTGTGGGGAGCTTGTGGGCTATAGTGCTTGGAGTATTACTTCATGCTGGTCAAGTGCTGAAAACACGGCTTGTCTTTGAACTGCATGAATTTTGAAAGACTGAACACAGGCACTGCTCACAGCAGTTTGAATTGCAAGATACTGAATTGTGAGATATTAAATTGCCTTTAACAGATATCTACTGGGAACTTACTGATGATTTTGATGATTTTCTTCTCTCAGAAGTTTTGCACATTAAGCAATTGTTGGTATTTTTTGGAAAATATATCCGTAATGCATCAGAATCACAGCTTTCTGTACTCAATATTCAAACAGTACGCAAAACCTTGTTTGGTTGGCTGCTTAATATGCCAAGTCTGTATTTGATCATTTAGAAAATAATTTTAAGTGAAGCAGCCAGAAAGCACCACACATTCAGTTAACCACATAATAGGAAAACTCATATTGAATGTGCAAGTTTAATGAAAAAGGAGACAATGGAACACAAGTCCCAGAGTATAGTTTCACTTGAAAGTAGTGTCTCCTCTGCCATATAAAATTTTTTTAATAGAATAAGATACTGTGTTTTTAAAGCTTATCTTGTTTTTTTTTTGTCTTATGTACTGAAATAGAGCTTTGTGGAGTAGTAAGAAACTCTTGTGAGTCATAAAAGCAAGAAGTTACTTCAGAAGACGCTGTATTCATAGAATAATTCTTTTTCAGTTTATTTGTGAAATAATAACGTCCATGTAGTCCATATTATTGCAGAATCACTCCTTTTATGTATACTAAGAAGTAGATGTGGTTTAAACCATTTTAATAATGCAATGTTGATATGGTAGCGATTTTTAAACTATCTTAAAATATCTTTTTCATTATATGTGGTTTTTAACCATGAAATTTCTAGTTTTAAATTTCTGATTTAATATGAACAACCATATAATAGACAACATTAGTGCTGGCATTCTTAAATAGAGAAGAAATAAAATTAAATTGAGCCTACAAGGACAAGCCTACAAGGCTTGTTATTTAAGGTAAGAGTACGGTTTGGTACCATTTCCCATCTCAGAATAACTTCTCTTGTGCAAATACTACTAGCCAGTTGACATTTTGTATTTCTGAGAAAGCTAAAGACAAAATGTTGTAGGAGATATTAAGGTAAATTTTTCATTGTCTCAAAAATATACCATGGTTTAAATTACCACTTTAAAAAATTATCTTAGATGCAGAGAGCAAAAATGTTTTTCATAAAGGAAGGCTAGAATTAGAGAGAGATTGAATAATTTGACTGCAAGTACTGTGTGGATTCTACTTTGTTGTTATCTGAGGAAAAATCCTGAGACTATTTAAACTATGTAGTATAGTGATAGCTTGAGCAATAGTAAGTAAAATGCTAAGTCTTGTAAGTTGTCTTCTTTGGATAAAAGCTGTGTATTTCAGGGCTTATTTCTTCTTTAATACATTTTTTAAAATGTCTAGAGATGAAAAGAATTAAATACCTACAATCATTTTTCAGCAATATAATAACAGAAGGAAGTACCACTATTAAGATAATAATCATCATCGTCGTCATCATCATATTCTTTAACTTCACGGTACCCTTTCCATTGAAGAAAATCTCTAGACAAATGTATATGAAAGGTTTAATGGTAATACCAAGCAAATATGTTTATAGTACTGTATCAATTATAAGACAGGTAAAAATGCTTTCTAAGCAAGATTTTACTCTTTACAGCAGGGAGTCATCAATGTATTTTTTTTTTTACTTATTCAGAAAATAAATGCTAAGCTTCATGATGGAGTGTGTCAGCATTGCAAAGGTATCTTGGAGTGGCGAGTAAAATTCAGAAAGTACAAGCTACTGACAAAACCTAAAAAATGGTGAGTAAAGATATTTTTTGTTAATTGTTGATCATGTTGTTTGTGAGCGTTTGGAAAATATTCTGGCTTTGGAAACTCAGAAGAAGAAGCTGCTATTATGCAATGTTTTTTAAATGTGGGGTCTGCAATGACAACATATAGGCAACGTTAATTTTCTAATTCATATGTCTTTTGTCATAAACTTCTGAAAAGAAGACACAGAGGAAGAGCAACTGTTTCCCTCTTTGCTGTTAAAACTGCTTGAGCTGTGGACCTGTAGGTTTCCAAGACTGTCAGTGTCATCCTGAACAAAAAGTCCTACCTGAACCTGTTGTAAGACAATTTTCTGAGGTCTTGTTTCACATCTATGAAACATTCTTTAGAGGGATCTGCACATCTCTTGACTTCTGTACTTTGCTAATGTTTGCAATACCTGCATTTCATTACCTCTTAGCATGTTTTGTCCTTTTCTGTAAGAAACTATAATCCTAAGTAGTAAATGTTGGCATTGTTTGCATAGAGTTCTATATTGCTTGTTTTTGTATAACTGTATGACAAAGATGATAAATACTTTAACCTATCACAAACATATAAATTATTTTAGTTTTCTGAAGGAGATGCTCTCTTCTTGCTTCTTATTTGCTCAGTTGCAGAGGTCCTTACCTCCTGTGGTAGCAGACACAGCCAGTGTTTCAGCAATGAAACACAGAACTCGAGAAACCACAGCTGGGCTGTGGTGCACAATACAGCCAGGTTTGTCACAGTAGCTTCGGTACTTCGGTAGTAGTTACTTCGGTATTAGTAACCAGTTTCATCCTTTCATGTAAAGAATAAATGATTAGGTAGAAGGCTTGCTGAATAAGAGATAAGAATTCTGTGTTCTATGCACCACAGATGAAGTTGGTGTTTTTCCTTTTTCTCAAATAACTATGTTGTTTGTGCATCCTGGTTTTTTTTTGTTTTTGTTTTGTTTTGTTTTGTTTTTTTTTTTTTTTTTTCCAAAGAGAAGAAAGCAGGCAAAACCCCCATGTAAATCAGGGAAGCATTGGATGTAGAAAAAGTGACATTTTAGAACAGCAGCTTATAACAGAATACATGATGTTCTCCCTCATATTTTTGAATGAGGAAGTTGTGCCTCAGAGCATTCTGGCTTTACAGGTCATGATTTCTGTGCCAGCAGTACAATGGCTGGGTGAGCTGTTGTTCTGAAATGACAAGACTATGAAAATTTTCAACAGATTAGGCTTCTGGGTGAAGTAAAAATGTAATAGACATTAAAAATATGACAATTAAAAAAAAAAGGAGTTCTTTATATTGCAAAAGATGGGGATGGAGGACTTCTCTGTACCTCAACTTATTTTAAGTTTTGTAGCATCTTTAAAATTATGAGTGTTAGTACAACCATAAGTTTCCCTACTTTACTACTGAGTATTTAATTATTACAAGTGAAACTATTTAAAAAATATATATATAAATCTGCCTTGCATTGGTAGTGCCTCTGTTTAGTATGACATGTCTGGGAAGAACTTTTGAGGGAATTAAAAATTACTGTCAAGATATCAGCATTACATGGGGTATATTGTTCTGGTTATGTTCTCCAGATATACAGAGCTTTTGAAATGTCAGCTGAATGTTAAGACACAGAATTTTGGAAATTACAAAATCCACAGAATATTATAATATTTTGAAAAAGAACAGCCCAAGCCCTTTACCTTATTAGGTTGGGTTTGTTGAGAATACTGTTCCTTGCAGGCTTGTGTTGATAGCAGACAAAGTCTAGCACTGACTCAGTTTATACTCTGACAAGTTCAAGAGGAAGTAATTTCAGTGTTTCAGCTGAAAGTTTTTATTTGTAAAGTCCATGTACTTTTTTATGCCATATGCTGCTTTTATCATTAAACAGGAAGTTATGCAATTTTAAAGTAAAAACTACCTACTTAAATGAACAGAAATGTTTATTCTGTCAAATTTAAAATTCTTTATTTAATATTTCTTTTTCAGTACTTGTTTTAGTAATTCTTCCTGAGGAAGGTAAGGGAAGGGGGTGAACGACAATGATTTTGATAATGCTACTTCATAAAACACTGAGTGTTTAATTTGAAACAAGCCTAAAATATGTTATTCCTCTTTTGTTAGTGTTTGTTCCTCTTTTGTATATTATATTTGAATACAGAATGTTTAGTAAGTGTCCACAATATGTTTTTAATCATATTTTCTTTCTCTTCACAGTGTGAAATGCCTCCAGAAGACTGTAAAAGATCCTTATCATATTATTTGTCGACCATGTGCTAGTAAACTAGAAATTTGTGCTAAGTGTGGGAAACAAGAAGAAATAGTGATTCCGTAAGTAGCTCATAGAGTAGTTTCAGTCCTGATAATTCGGTACTGATAATTCCCTTTGCAATAAGCCTTGTTTGGAAACTGCCAAGAAGCTGTTGTAATTTATGCCATATTCTCAATTATCCCAACATGAATCAGTAGGAGTCATTTTCCTCACTTTCTTCAGATGCAGCTGGGGGTAAAATGCTTATTGGTGTTAGTGAGGCTGAGACAACTAAAGTTCTACTTGGATAAGACATCTTAACACCAATGGGTAAATTGTGTATCTTCTTAACAAAGCACTTCAAAATGGGTTTTGATGTAGAGCATCATAAAATATGCACAAACCACTTTACTGTTTGCATTTTGTCTGCCACTTGATGATTCAGTTACTAGTGAACAGAACAACTAAACAAGGACTGATATTGAGCACAGTTACCACAGTACATTTAACAGGCTTTTGGCTTTTTTTACTGGTGTTCTCTATTGGACATGATACATAAAACATTAATTTACTAGTTGTGACAACAGTTCAGCAGTTGCTTACTTGGTAAAGCTGTTCAAATATTTCATTTTCTTTCTTTACAGTCTCTTCTGTACTAAATACTATTTTATGCATACTTTACTGTATTTTATATGCTTCCTATTTAGTGTGAAGTAACTTTAGGGACTTTTATTGCCCCTCTCCTCCTTCTTCCTCCTGCTATCTTCCATCCTATACTGGGATGGAATGCTGGGAGGATATTCTATACTTTTTCCCATTCTTGTTTAAATTCCAGAAGTGGGTGGTGATAATATCCCTCTTGCTTTCTACAGGATTGATAAAGGACAAGACAGAACTGACAGTGAGACTTCTAAAACTGGTCAAGAGAGCAGTAAATTGAAGGATGAGCTGGATTTTGATACAAATTTCAGTAGTGCAGACAGTGATGAAGATTCTGATGTGCTTGAAGAACAATTCAAAAGTATGAATTTTGAAAAAACAGAGATCTAAAAGGTTGTGTTTATGCAAGAGATTATATGCAATCAAATATGATAAACCAGTGCTTGCCCTTAAACTGCTCCAAACCCTGATTATACATCTAAAGTCCTTGTATGTTAATTTTGGCATTGTGTATGATGATACATGTGGGCATTTGTATTAATACACAGTTTTGTGTATTAGGAACAGAAATTCTTTGAAAATAATCGGAAATTCTATCTGTAAGCATAGTTATTTATTTCATACATATAACAACTTCCTGTTTTTATGGAATAAAACCTTTTTGTGTAATTGTTCGAAATTCAGTATTATGTGACCATCGGAAGTATTATTGCTACCTGGAAATCTACCTGAAAGTCTAGAATAAACACAGACAGGGAGAGCTAAAGCAGCTATAATGGTTTTCTGAAGGAAGAACTTGCAGCATTCTGTCAATGAGTTTCCAAATGGGTCTTACCCTTATGCCTGAGGGTTTTTATTCGGGGTTTTTTTCCCCACAAGAATGAAACAAGTATGTAAATGCCATCACCAGTTCATGAACAGTTAAAGCTTATTTACCATATATAAGTGTGCATTACAGATTTGTGACCTTGTTGCTAGCAATATTTTGTAAAGAAGAAATCTGAAGACTTTAGAATTTCTCATCACACTTCCTTTTAATTTTCAGAATTCAGAGATTCATCTGGATCTCATGTAGTTTTCTCTGATATGAAAAGATTTGCACAGCAGAATGATGCATATAGAGTTACTCCCTTCCCAGTTTCTATTCCTGTGTTGATTAAGCTGTACAAAGAATTTAACTGAAGTTGCAGTAACTGTCTTTACAGGATTTAGGATGGTTTGATTGCTTTTTACTGTCTTCTTGCTCTTTACATTTAACTAACAGTATATATATGCATTAATCTGTGACAATATGTTATGCCATATCTGCTTTGATGCTTTGCCTGATTTGCAATAGTGAGCATGAAAAAACTTGGTTCTCAAACTACATTTTTCAAATGCTCTGTGAGGAAATTCAGCTCTGAGGTTGTTGCCCATCCCTGCCTTGGAATGAAGGAAATACTGAAACTTGGTCCTTTGGGTGCTGATAGGCACCCGATGTCTGTCCTGTCAAGCTGGAAAACACCAAGAAGTGTTCAGTGGCAGAAAAGGAGGTTGTCAGGTATGTTCAGAAGTGTTGGATCTGAATGTTATCTGAAGGTTTTACTGACAGATAAGTCCTCCTAACAGGACAGCAATGACATCTGACTTAGTGTCACATCTGTTGTCCTGCTAGTTGATGGCAGCAAGGGGAGAGTAAACAAGGAATATCCCATGCCTACCCTGCAGATGACCAGGTAGGCGGGTGCATAGAAGAAATTTAATAAGTAATCTGGATTTAGCTTCAGAAGGGGTCTCTCTAAAGGGGGAACCTAAAGTGAATTTGAAAGTGCTATACATATGGGAAATGTTCTTCCACTTGGAAAAACTTGTAGTGGCCTTGTTCTTTGTTGAAATGTGAGAGGAAATCCGGAACGGTAGGAAATCATGTGATGGAACTGGCGGAAGCTGTATAATGAGAAAATAAGGGGAAGAATTCTCTTCTTGTAGTGGTGACACAACCTGTCAGTACCAGGAGTGAGCAGAGTGACAGAGACTGTGTTGCCACACAGTGCGAAAATGTTTGTACAAAGGGAAAGTCCTGTGAAGTCTTCATGTCACACTCCTGTACTATAGCTGATGAAACTGTGCTGTGGGTGAGCTCAGCTGCAGTGGTGGCTGGCTGGTGTTAGTCCAGCCTATCTACAGACAGTTTTGGTTTTGGCAAGCCTTCTGTCTTAGGTTCAGCTGTGGCTGAAGGATATACTGCTGGAAATAATTTCTGCAACACGGTTTAATGTGGTGGTTGTGAGTCAGCTTACAAAATGGCAGCTTTGCAAGGGAAAAGGAGTTTGCATTTTACTGAGGATTAGGATATATTTGGAACTGCATTAAGTCATACTGTAAGAGTTCTGAGTATCAGGGGTTTGGTTTTCTTGTCTCTTTTTGAGGAACTTATTGAACAGAGGATAATTCAGGAGCAGGACGTCTTTAAATGCTGATCTTCAGTACAAGCATATAGAAATTAGAATATTTTTTAAAATGGAGATCACAAGTCATCAAAGATTTTTGAGATCTTCAGGGTAGTCATACCCATGGAATGATTTTTAGTTTTAATTGAGATTTTGAAACCTTTCTGTCTATTCTTTCACAAATAATAATGAATTTGTGTTTATAAACATAAGAGGAAATTAAAAATACCACAATGCCTGCAGGGTACTGAGATGCAGTTTAAACAGTATGACTGATCAGAGGTTTCAGGATTTGTCTGGACCTTGCAGTGCCTTACCAAATGCATTACTGAAGAAGAAAATGATAGATGTTAATTAGTCATCTGAAGAATACTTGATGCATCACTAGTGATGCAGTGGTGTTGCTGACAGCTGAGTTCCTGTTACCAGGTTGTCCTTAGGAGTGTCATTTGCCATGACTCAACACTGAAGTAATTACTTAGGTAGTGGACTGCCAGTATGGGTGAGGCAGGCATCCCAGATGATTCTTACTCCGCAAGGGGAAATGCTCATCATAGCTGGAACTGCCAGAACTCGACATGCTTGACTTGTACACATTTCTGGGAATCAAATTCCTGTGTACAGGGATTTTTGAGACAACCTGGATTCATTACAATATGACGAGAGTCTGATGTGGACGCAGTGCTACCTCCTAGAATAATTCCTTAACAATCTTCCCTGTCAAAGTTCACAGGCATCTCTGAGACATCCTATCATCTAATATTTTGAAGGATCAGGTAATGCAAAAAACATCGCTCCATGATTTACTTCCAGTTTGCATGGGCTGCAATCTTCTGTTCTTGTCTTGGCTACTGACTAATCTGTATTCCTCCAAAATACTGTAATAATACCAGCCTCTGAAGGTTTATAGAACTACCGGTTAATTAAGAAAAGTACAGCTTGCTTTCTCCCTGTAATGGGCATGTACCTGGATGTTGAGATGGAAATCACAGCATTAGCAAGGAAAATAGGAGAAAATATAGCAGGTCATCAAATGTGAGCCACCTTGTAAACCTCTAGCCCTATAATTATGTATGTTTTCTTTGTTTAGGTGTCCTCATAAGTAAATGTATGCTGGTAGAAAATGCAAAACTAAATGCTTATTGGAAGCATCAGCCTGACTTAGAGAGTTAATGAGGAAAGCTTTGTAAGCGACAGGGAGAGATGCTTTTCTTTATCAGATGTTTAGGGAGCTGCTCACGCAAACAGCATCTCAGCATCTCACTTAATTTTCCTGCCTACCTTTCGTCTGAAAGCTAATACAATTCAAAACTCTTGGTGAAAAAGAAGGTATGAACCCTGCATACATACTCATCACATACGGTGAGTTTGTAAAGTAGATCACATTCAATTGTTTGAAACAATTGAAGTGTGATCTTTCTGTGGCTTGATAACTCATTCGCAGACAAGTTATCTGTAACAGACTAAAAATAAAAAATTTGACTTATTTCAAGTAGCAGACTTTTCTGCTGGAGCCCCTAAAAATAGTTAAAAAGAAATCACATTAATTTTTTTTTTCTGAAGTCAATAAAAAAATTATTTGTAATAATAGGGGTAATACTCATAATTCAGTCATCAATAATAAATTCGAAGATATAAAAA